TTTCTTGACGGTCATGATCTTCCTTTTGTTTGTGATAACTGCATTCTGTAAAATAATGAGTATACCTCGATAATGCAACTTGATGCCAGCAGTGTTTCTTGACGGTCATGATCTTCCTTTTGTTTGGGATAACTGCATTCTGTAAAATAATGTATAAGCCTCGATAATGCCAATTACCGCCAGCTGTGTTTTCTTATTGTTCTGATCTTCCTTTTGTTTGGGATAACTGCATTCTGTAAAATAATGTATATGCCTCGATAATGCCAATTACCGCCAGCAGTGTTTCTTGGCAGTTCTGATCTTCCTTTTGTTTCGGATAACTGCATTCTGTAAAATAATGCATCGATAATACAAGTTGATGCCAGCAGTGTTTCTTGACGGTCATGATCTTCCGCTTTTGTTTGGGATAACTGCATTCTGTAAAATAATGTATATAATCCTCGATAATGCCAATTACTGCCAGCTGTGTTTCTTAGCTGTTTCTGATCTTCCTTTTGTTTGGGATAACTGCATTCTGTAAAATAATGTATATGCCTCGATAATGCCAATTACTGCCAGCAGTGTTTCTTGGCGGTTCTGATCTTCCTTTTGTTTCGGATAACTGCATTCTGTAAAATAATGAGTATGTATCGATAATGCAAGTTGATGCCAGCAGTGTTTCTTGACGGTCATGATCTTCCTTTTGTTTGTGATAACTGCATTCTGTAAAATAATGAGTATGCCTCGATAATACAAGTTGATGCCAGCTGTGTTTCTTGACGGTCATGATCTTCCTTTTGTTTGGGATAACTGCATTCTGTAAAATAATGTATATGCCTCGATAATGCCAATAACTGCCAGCAGTGTTTCTTGACGGTCATGATCTTCCTTTTGTTTGGGATAACTGCATTCTGTAAAATAATGTATAAGCCTCGATAATGCCAATTACTGCCAGCAGTGTTTCTTGGCGGTCCTGATCTTCCTTTTGTTTGTGATAACTGCATTCTGTAAAATAATGAGTATGCCTCGATAATGCAAGTTGATGCCAGCAGTGTTTCTTGACGGTCCTGATCTTCCTTTTGTTTGGGATAACTGCATTCTTTAAAATAATGTATAAGTCCCCATAATGCCAATTACTGCCAGCAGTGTTTCTTGACGGTCATGATCTTCCTTTTGTTTGTGATAACTGCATTCTGTAAAATAATGTATAAGCCTCGATAATGCCAATTACTGCCAGCAGTGTTTCTTGGCGGTCATGATCTTCCTTTTGTTTGGGATAACTGCATTCTGTAAAATAATGTATAAGCCTTGATAATGCCAATTATTGCCAGCAGTGTTTCTTGACGGTCATGATCTTCCTTTTCTTTGGGATAACTGCATTCTGTAAAATAATGTATAAGCCTCGATAATGCCAATTACTGCCAGCAGTGTTTCTTGGCGGTCCTGATCTTCCTTTTGTTTGGGATAACTGCATTCTGTAAAATAATGAGTATGCCTCGATAATGCAAGTTGATGCCAGCTGTGTTTCTTGACGGTCATGATCTTCCTTTTGTTTGTGATAACTGCATTCTGTAAAATAATGAGTATGCCTCGATAATACAAGTTGATGCCAGCTGTGTTTCTTGACGGTCATGATCTTCTTTTTGTTTGGGATAACTGCATTCTGTAAAATAATGTATATGCCTCGATAATGCCAATAACTGCCAGCAGTGTTTCTTGACGGTCATGATCTTCCTTTTGTTTGGGATAACTGCATTCTGTAAAATAATGTATAAGCCTCGATAATGCCAATTACTGCCAGCAGTGTTTCTTGGCGGTCCTGATCTTCCTTTTGTTTGTGATAACTGCATTCTGTAAAATAATGAGTATGCCTCGATAATGCAAGTTGATGCCAGCAGTGTTTCTTGACGGTCATGATCTTCCTTTTGTTTGGGATAACTCGCATTCTTTAAAAATGTATAAGTCCCCATAATGCCAATTACTGCCAGCAGTGTTTCTTGACAGTCATGATCTTCCTTTTGTTTGGGATAACTGCATTCTGTAAAATAATGTATAAGTCCCCATAATGCCAATTACTGCCAGCAGTGTTTCTTGACGGTCATGATCTTCCTTTTGTTTGGGATAACTGCATTCTGTAAAATAATGTATAAGCCTCGATAATGCCAATTACTGCCAGCAGTGTTTCTTGGCGGTCATGATCTTCCTTTTGTTTGGGATAACTGCATTCTGTAAAATAATGTATAAGCCTCGATAATGCCAACTACTGCCAGCAGTGTTTCTTGGCGGTCATGATCTTCCTTTTGTTTGGGATAACTGCATTCTGTAAAATAATGTATAAGCCTTGATAATGCCAATTACTGCCAGCAGTGTTTTGGCGGTCCTGATCTTCCCTTTTGTTTGTGATAACTGCATTCTGTAAAATAATGAGTATGTCTCTCGATAATGCAAGTTGATGCCAGCAGTGTTTCTTGACGGTCCTTGATCTTCCTTTTTGTTTGGGATAACTGCATTCTGTAAAACAATGAGTATGCCTCGATAATGCAAGTTGATGCCAGCTGTGTTTCTTGACGGTCCTGATCTTCCTTTTGTTTGTGATAACTGCATTCTGTAAAATAATGTATAAGCCTCGATAATGCCAATAACTGCCAGCAGTGTTTCTTGACGGTCCTGATCTTCCTTTTGTTTGGGATAACTGCATTCTGTAAAATAATGTATAAGCCTCGATAATGCCAATTACTGCCAGCAGTGTTTCTTGACAGTCATGATCTTCCTTTTGTTTGTGATAACTGCATTCTGTAAAATAATGTATAAGCCTCGATAATGCCAATTATTGCCAGCAGTGTTTCTTGACGGTCATGATCTTCCTTTTGTTTGGGATAACTGCATTCTGTAAAATAATGAGTATGCCTCGATAATGCAAGTTGATGCCAGCAGTGTTTCTTGACGGTCCTGATCTTCCTTTTGTTTGGGATAACTGCATTCTGTAAAATAATGTATAAGCCTCGATAATGCCAATTACTGCCAGCAGTGTTTCTTGGCGGTCCTGATCTTCCTTTTGTTTTGATGCCAGCAGTGTTTCTTGACGGTCATGATCTTCCTTTGTTTGGGATAACTGCATTCTGTAAAATAATGTATAAGCCTCGATAATGCCAATTACTGCCAGCTGTGTTTCTTGGCGGTTCTGATCTTCCTTTTGTTTGGGATAACTGCATTCTGTAAAATAATGTATATGCCTCGATAATGCCAATTACTGCAAGCAGTGTTTTTTGGCGGTTCTGATCTTCCTTTTGTTTCGGATAACTGCGTGCTGTAAAATAATGTATATGCCTCGATAATGCCAATTGATGCCAGCAGTGTTTCTTGGCGGTCATGGTCTTCCTTTTGTTTGTGATAACTGCATTCTGTAAAATAATGTGTATGCCTCGATATGCCAGTTGATGCCAGCAGTGTTTCTTGACGGTCATGATCTTCCTTTTGTTTGTGATAATAATTTGTAAAATAATGTATATGCCTCGATAATGCCAATTACTGCCAGAATACGGACTGCGCAACGGTTACACCAGTTAGGTGAAAACTAGCTGTTGTCACAGTGACCTATCTACCAATAACACGAGATGAAACACTGCCCTGTTCCTTGTTCAGTTAACACAAAATAAACATTATGAAATTGTGTTTCTGAAGTGTGTGTTCTTATACCAATTAAAAAGGGCAATTTGACGATGTCCTGGCACTCCATGGAACAGGGATGCAGGATTTATTTTCTTTTAACATGTCAGTTCAACAACCTGGTTTATCTCGAAACGTTAAGATCACAAAGATCACTCAACTGCAAATATCACTCAAAACCTTGTTTTCTGTACTACTGGGCAGGCAGTGGTTGTTTAAACTAATAGTCTGCTGAAGAGGCTGTGTGAGATTACGTTACTCAAGGTAAGGGCATTATAACTGTCACAGAATGTATTCTTTTAATTCCAGTTAATTTGTCCAAAATCAACAAAACCCGAGGGGATGGGGACCATGCAGGTTGTAAACAGTTTTCCTGACGATTTAAGGCTTGCGTCTATTTGAAATGTTTCACAATGACAGAATGCCACAGGAGAACATGATTTTACTAACAGCTGGTACCTAAACTTCAGACAGCAATAGCTTATTTCGACTATGCTTTCTTTCCAAACATGTCGAAGTACGTACTTAATTATCTCCCCTTCACTGTCCATAACAATGTACTTGCAATGGGGATTCAGTATCAAAACCTCGATGCAGCTTTACTAAATTATATATCATCATCAACCTTGAATGAAGGTCGGTAATGACCTTAAAGGGTATCCCAGTGACAACCTTATTTTGAAACGCCATAGCAGCCATATTTAAGTCAGTGTGATGGTTAAGAGTGGATCGAAAAACTACCTCGTGACACTCATATATAGAGCCTCTTATTATTCTACCTACTGGTAGGTTCATCATCTTCAGCTGACATTTCAGGGACATTGAAATATAATCATCGCTTTTTCAACAAGATGATTGCCAACATGAGATGTTAAGTGGAATAACTAAAGAGACATTTTTGTGTGATAGTAAACTGACGAAATAAAGTTGCATGTATCCGGAGCTCAATTTGCGACCATTGGTGAGACGGGAAAAGGCAACAGCATGATCACTCAGACCAAGGGCATTATATTGCTACAACCTACTAGACTCTCGCCAATTCCTTTGTAAGGACCTCCGTCTGTGAAGACCTAATACATGTAGTTCATCCTGATATAACCATACACATTATCCGCCATATTTTGTACACTTACGTCGTCAAACATGTGAAATACCACGAACATAATAATTATTATACTATTCACTTTGATTCACTTTGAGGTTCCTAAAACTGTTGTATACACACTATCCTACATACAGTATGGCTTCTGTGTTATATTCCAAACACAATATAGAACTTACATTGATATACTGACGTACGACATATATAAAACACTACTCACGCTGAGATTCAGGGTAGGGCTGACTGCTGCAAACCATTCATCCCGACCTGCACGTGTACAACGTTTCTTCCTCTGCTGTCAGACACGAGGGGCACAGATGTTTACATTTGTCGCCGAAATGTCCGAGTTTACATTGCTGACATTGACCAGTAAACCTGTGACATGACTGAAAGGGGACAGACATGACATATTGCAGTGGGCGCCATAACGACCTGCTATACACCCTTCTAAACAGGTTCCTTCAACACTGCAGGCAAAGCCCTGACATTTCTGCAAGCAGGAATGTTCACACTTACTACCGTACAAATCAGCCCTGCACAGAGTACAGTTCTCACAGTGATGCCAGTCACACGCCAGACATCCATCAGGACAAGGTATTTTACATCGAGGTCCACAGTAGCCATCCTCACAGCCGTCACTACAGACGGTCTTCCCTGAGTTGGGGTCCACCTGACATGTCGAGTTGACACACGTCTCCTGACAGTGATGCTGACAGTACTTGTCTGTGTAGCCTGTCTTACATCCTTCAGTGCATATTCCTCGTGCATCACATTTCTCCCCTTTACAGTTCTGGCAGGACTTAGATCCAAGCAGGGGGCTGAGGAAAACTGAAAACAGAAACGTTGTAAATGACGTAATCTCTACTGCCGACAGAGCAGAACACGTCCCTACAAAGACATACATGCTTCACTGCTGTCAGTGAGTGAGTGAATGAGTGAGTGAGTGAGTGAGTCAGTGAGTGAGTTAAGATCTTACATTGGCAGTATTTCAGCCATATCGTGACTAAAACAAGTTATAGATTCATAATGAAGTCAAATTTTCAAACCCTGTCAACAAAGGACAGTAAAACAACTGGACGATCACTGATATAGATATAACACTGGTATGAAAACTAACGTTGTGTAATTATAGAAGACAATACAATATACAAACGAACAGATTCTTGCTAAAGAATTCGAAACGTCGACGTGTTATGATATAATGGGAATCTTGTAATGACCCGGAATGTCTATCTGTACAAGGATTTCTTGTTACTAGATGTAGTCATTGTTTTACTTTATTGACACAGATAAGGCATATGATATACAATATTTAATTAACAGTCAACAAGAGCTAAAGAGAGGTTGTGGGAACGTACCTATGATTAGGAAGCTGTAACTCAACCCGGGCTGCATATTGGTTGTTCTAAAACAAACAGGAAATATAGTGAGTTCATTTTCGTAACGATTCTGTTTACTTGAAACTATAGACTAACACAAAATATCCTCAACTAAATGTTTGTTAAAACATCATATTGTGTGTCCAAATATATAATCCTTTGACATTCAAAAAGGGAATATCTCTTATTATACTTCTTGGAAAGTTTAGATGTTTTACTAGAAAAAAAAGAACATACCGTTTTTCCAAATCGGTTTGAATAATTTACAACGACGGCCACTGAACACTATCTAAACAACACATTGTAATTCTAGCTGTGTTTTCAATCTTTAGCAAACTGATAACTGTTGTTTTGTTGTTTGGATAGGAAGTATAACGCATGTGATGCACGTGCATTCTTGATTTTGACAGTTTCCAAGAAGGTCGATAAATCATAGGCTGTAAGGATGTGGTGATTGCTATCGGTAATTCCCAGTGTCAGATATTGTATTCTAACCCATATACATCACCATATACGATCACCATATACGATCACGCCGTTAAATTTACATTTCCTCAAAAGTACCAACTTCAATATCGTCAATTTCAGTCATGTACACCACTATCCTACATAGAAGAAAAACTGAATTCCTTGAGAAATTTGTTTGTGAACGCGGTGAGCACTGATATGATTATATATCTATTTTTAGAGGTTCAGGACAAGATTTCGAGCCTAAAATTAAATGTCATCTGATTTTTAATGACAAAGCAGTAAGGATAACATCATTTGTAAACACGGGGGGAAAATTGACACGACGTTGGCACGATCATAGGGACCAGTTGTTCTGCCATCCTTGCAGATGTGTTTGTTTAAGCTTATGTATTTGGCCAATAAAGTGAACTCAAGCGTCAGTTTTCACCAGGGCCTGATATCGTTCAGTCACCATCACCTGACCATTTTAACTTCCACTGATATAACTACCAGAACTAGAGACAAGAGATAATTCAACTCTTTCACATTTAGATCTATGCATATGGATTTAGAGTGGCAAATCATTATCACCAAGCCAGCGTGACAACTTCTCTATGGTCAGCTTCTTTTGTCGGTCTAGAGATTCAAGGCTTCAGTAAAGGCATCGAAATGGGTAGGATAATTTCCAATGATTAACAAACATGAGCACATGATGTAGCATTTCATTGAAATTTCATGTGAAAGTTTAGATGTTTTACTAGAAATAAAAGAACATACCTCGTGAAAAATATGTCCATAACCTCTTGCTTCTGGCGAGGTTCCTCCTGGAATAGACAGGATGCGAAATATTACCATTAAGATCATGATTTGTTAAAATATTCCATAAGAAAGAAAAATACTTAGTTATTTATCATTAAATGATGTCTTCCTTTACTTACTGTGCTTGACGAAATCGAAAAGACTCCTTAAAAGAAGCTCAAACACAGTTACAGCTAAAGGCATATAGCTGAGCTGCTTTGATAGCTTATGAACATCTATTGACATACTAGTATGTGTATTTGGTCATGGATCATTTGAAATCATCTTTAACCTCGTCAGAATAGCAGATGATCGGTCATCTTATGTCATGTTCTCCTTCGTTTAATTTTAGTTTGAGAGAGACAAAATCAAATTTCATGTTAATGGTACTTTGAAATATCTATCGATAATGTTCAAAGACAAAATCATTTGGCTGATGAAAAAGGATGCCAAACTTGAACGTATTCCTATCGTGGGTACAATGTTTGAAGCCCATTTCCGCTGTCCTTCGCCGTGGTATTGCTGGTATAATGCAAAAAGCGCCGTAAAACCATACTCACTCACTCACTATTAGTATCGTCTCACGTTTCCCATGGTCATATGTTTTCATCCACCATTACGATTCCCGTTTATAGTGCGGGAATGCGAGAAAATCTATGAGAAGCAGCCAGAATGTCAACAAGGAGATCCCCTTCATCGGTCTGACATCAATAAGCTACTAATAAAGTTTCCATGCGTAACAGTAACAGAAAAAAACACACAAGAAAAATGATAAATTTCTAACTCATGGATCTCATACTCAAATGCTTTATATTCCTGAATCTTTTCTCCAAAGATGATATTATTATTAATGTTTCGTCTGCTTAGTTTACATCATACGTTAAAAGATCACGTTCCTAGTCATGTGACCACGCTGATAGATTTATCATGTCACGCCAAATTCGCGAATTTGCTTACGTTAAATCACCAATTAATTGCAAAACTTCGTTTGGCAGAACGATACTAACATATAGTATTTACTTTTTGTACTCGAAATATTTTACCGTTATCCGATCGAAAACCCAATATGCCAGGATATCTATTTCTAGTTCTTCCATTTGGAACATGAGATATTCAATATGTGTGTATGTATATTGATGTGTTGTTAAGGAGATATTAACAGTCTGTTTGTCTGACAACACCACCACTGATTGGACCATTTCTTGTCAATGTATAAACTGAATTGATGTTTTCAAAACACGTTAATCAAACATTTCCTCATGTGCATCAAACATGTCATCATGTTTATACCATTGATGCAAAGAAAAGTCACTATCCTGCTTAATACAAAAGTCTAATTCCATATGTTTTTGGATGAAATATACCTCAAACTACACAAAAAGTGATTTCAAGGAATATGTCCAAAATGTAGTCTATTTTCAGTTCACATGGCTTATGCATAAACCCATGGAAAATTCAGTGATTATGTATAATTATGCATATGACCTTATACATAATGACTGACAATTGTAAGGATTATAGGTAATCCGTGGTTTTACATTATTGTATGAACATATATTATTTTGTGTGTGTGTGTGTGTGTGTGTGTGTGTGTGTGTGTGTGTGTGTGCTGCTACCGAATCACACCTGGTTAACCTAATGCCTTTCCTAATGTGTTTCGTAGCTTACCGTGATTATTGTCGAAAAACTTAAACTTGACCTCTGAATATAAACGAAATCACATATTACAGCTAAAGACACATGCTTTTAAAACTAATAAACATCTGTTCAATATGTGCTTATGTATTTGGTCATGGATCATGTGAAATTATCTATTAACGTCGTAAGGATATGAGATGATCGGTGATGATCTAACGTCATATTCGCATTCTATTTACATGAGAGACACGATATTCTCTTTGAAGGACTAAAACATTTGACTGGCCAACGGGATACATAACTCGGGCATATTGTATGCATTTCATCCAGTTATAACATTTGGAACACATGGTGTATTTGGGATAAAGCACTACACTTGGTCCACTACTTTCTGAATGGCATTGTATATTCATCATATATAGGTGAGGGATTTTTGTGTCAATGAAACATATACGACTCACATGGAGACAATTGCAGTAGTTCCTGTTATCGCCAAGAAGATGCTCAGTGCCAAGATAGTGTTGTAGTGACTACCGTCCTCACATCGACAGGGAACTATGGGCCGAGTATTATGAAACAATCCGTCATTCATTTGTTAACAAACATATGTTCAAGACAATGAATTTGAGGTTATTGGTTGGAAGCCCGAACGCCTGCATCCTTCTAATCGGCCTGAATTTGTCTCTCAGGTGAAATGTCTCTCTATAATATACACTTGGATTTTTAAAATGAACTTTCAGACAATGATACTTAATCTCTTTGCATTTTGGCAATTCTAAATGACCAATGAACATAGCAAACTGGGAGTCATGCAATCATGTGGGTAATTCGATATGATTGTCCCGCTTCAGTGTGGAAATCGAGTTTTCTATAAATCTGTGTTTTACTGATCAAAAACATTAATAAAGTCATACACTTTCAATTCAAAGCAATTTTACATATAACAGAGAGTAGCAGTGACGTTTCATCTGCCTCAATAAGATCATACCTCGCGGTGTCTGGCGGTTGCCATTATATTCTGACAGCTGTACGTGAGTCGAGCCAGAGTAGTCACCAGGTTAGTTACATTTGGTTGTAGAAATGGTGTATACGGCTGACAGGTTGTAACATCTCAGTAAATGTGTAGGATTGTAGGCTAAAATACTATTTATTGCTGGCTTTTCGAATAAGTAAATACTACGTTTCGCTAATCTGGTTTTAACTGTAAAGTCCTTAAGTCTGAAGTTCATTGCTTTTATCAGCATGTTGTTTCTTGTACATGTATCAAGTGTGATTGATGTGCTCTCTGTAATAGTGACTGAGAGGTGTCTGGTGTGTGCTTGTTGAGCGCTCAGTATGGTCCTTATTATTCTACTTCCACTTTTATGTGTCAGAGTTTCAGTCCCGTGTGGCCGTCGAGTCTTAAGGAGTCGTTTCGTCCAATACACGGGTGAACAAATTTTGAATATAATGTAAAATATGTACTTTTCTTTCTGATGTAGAGGATATAGCCAATATGTATACATTCCTACTCAGTATTATTATACAAGGGAACCAACCGATTTTATTGGTTAGTAATGTTCCAGTCCACCATAGAACACAAGCAATATATGGGACCATGTTTCCTCCGTCCGTCTTTAGTACTTCATTTCCAAACATGGTTAGACCTTTGATAGGAAATGTCATACACTGGAGATGAAAGTGACATATCTGCGATGCGAGTACCGATCTTTAATAGAAGCGAGTCTTTAACAGACGGAGGTATGGTCATCGTGATGCTCTTGAAATCAGCTTCACTCTCAACTTCTCACGTCCCTCTCATTATATTTACTCAGGTGCCTCCAACGTTGCCTGTATAGAGGCTTTTCGTGTTTCCGTTGTCACTATTTCAGCATATAAACCTGCATGCTATGCTAGTCAGCAAGATACCTCAAGAACCATTTTCGGGATTTTCTTCATATTTGACACCAAGCTTTATCCAGGGAAGGCGCAGGACCCAGTCGATTTTGTTGACCTTCACTTAATTTTCAAGGTCATTGCGACACTTTGGAGACTTCAGTATGTTAACCTGAATTCACTGGATTTTCTTCATACACTTTTCAATAAACAATGTCTTTAATTCCAGTTTTCCATGCACTATGACATTCATGTCAAGGTCCAAGTTAGTCTTGAAAATACTTGTCTGACGTAGTAGGCATCGGTCCTGCAGCGGAGCTGTAACACTCAAGGAAGCAATGAAACATGCGGAGGCGACCTGGTCTCCTTACATCGACACTCTCGTCACTTTATGTAATCACCAGCAGTGTGTCGAACCTCATGAAGTACGAAAGAAGTTAGCATGCAGTGGCACTACCCTACCCACCAGGTGACACATGAGCCCACCCAACCCACCAGGTCACACAGGTGCCCTCCCTATCGACCAGGTGACACAGGAGCCCACCCAACCCACCAGGTCACACAGGTGCCCTCCCTATCGACCAGGTGACACAGGAGCCCACCCAACCCACCACCCAACCCACCAGGTGACACAGGTGCCCGCACAACCCACCAGGTGACACAGGTGCCCACCCTACCCACCAGGTGACACAGGAGCCCACCCAACCCACTAGGTCACACAGGTGCCCACCAAACCCACCAGGTCACACAGGTGCCCTCCCTATCGACCAGGTGACACAGGAGCCCACCCAACCCACCAGGTCACACAGGTGCCCTCCCTACCCACCAGGTGACACAGGAGCCCACACAACCCCCCAGGTGACACAGGTGTCCACCCTGCCCACCAGGTGACACATGAGCCCACCTAACCCACCAGGTGACACAGGAGCCCAAGTAGTATATACAATGGGGGTTCTGGACCAGTTCCAACCAAAGCCTCTGCAAAGCCTTATTTCACAAGTAAGGCTTTGGTCGGACCCTTAGCTCTTGCTACCATTACCCCTACTATGAAAAAGTTTGGGGATGCGAACGCACCTCTTAGCCGCACCGCTTAACCGACTGAGCTACCGGGGATATGGTTGAAGTAACGGGTCTATCCTGAGATTGCATCACCCAAAGCTAGGCTGCGTCTAACGTATCGCTATGACACTATGTCACGTTTACCTTGATGAAACAGTTTAATGTGAATCGCCTATAATCTCTTTGGCGTTCGTAATAAAGGCTTGCCGGGCTTTTTGTACTCCCTGTTCTATGTACTTTTTTTTCTCATCCTCACTGATAGCAGACTTACGAGACTTGGATCGAATCTCTTGTTTCATTTTGTTATATTTTGTGAGTTCAGAGGGGATTGAACTAAACTCCTCCTCTGAGATCTTACTGTCAGTGAGTGCCGTGGAAATACGCTCACTTACTGTGTTCAGCTTTGCTTCAGCCAGAACCCTGATCTGGTCGTGTTTCAATGCCTTACGATGCAGTCTGCGTGATGCAAACTTAAGCGCCAACCCTAACACCCCTGCCACCCCAGCTGTTATTTCAATACCTAGCACTATAGGTGCAGCCACGATGGTAGCTAACAACCCAACACCTGCCGCCCCTAGTCCCATGCTGGTTGCCATAAGGGCAGTGTCAGCCCCGTCCACGATATTGAAAGCTCTATGGTACTTTTTACATAGTGCTTTCCGCGTGTCGCGGTCTTGTTCTAGTTGGCGTTTCACATCACATAACTGCCTCAAGCGGAACCCATCTACGGTTTCCAGTGTCTTCGCTACTTCCTCTACGACTGGGTATAGCCCCATTCTGTGTGCCTATAATATATCTGATAAAATATTTTTTAATTGGGTATCTAGTTTCCAACTAGTGTTCTGGTACTAGTTCAGGGATATAGTTCAATCCCATAATGTATTTTAATTGGGTTTTATTTAACCTTCGATTAATGTACTTAAAGCCGATAATACTTAGATTAGCGTGCGTGTAAAAAAGCGGGGTCTTAGCTCTACGCCCATTAAAGAGACGAACCCCCTCAAGACTTGATACAGGGTCATTTCCTGATACCTTAATAATACGGCAACGTTGGCTATTACACCTGTCTTCCCACTGTATTATCATATCATCTATAATGTTACGATGACTAGGAAACGGGGAATCTCCGAGATAGACGTCTATGAGGAATGTGAAGTTTTCCGCGACATTTCTAAAGACCTCTTGGTGATCAAGTAATTTGATCTCTGTCTTCACCTTCTTCCTGGAAGTTAACATGTTGCCTGAGTGGTTTGGTATTGGTGCGATATATACATTAGATTCCGGATATACCACTCCATCTACAAGTAGGCCTTTGGGTTCCGGAACGAACGATCCTATAATTATGCCGTTGTTCTTAATCTCGGAGATAGTACCATCTTGTCTCAAGGTGATATAAGGTGCGGTGAGGGTTAAGTTGAGTAACCATTCAGGCTCTTTAAAATCTGATAACGACACCCGCCTATACACGTTGTCTTTGAAGTGCAGGATGTATAAGGTGTCTTCCTCACCAGGCTGATCGAATCCCTCCGTGTCCCCTAGGTCGTTAAGAGTAGTGTTGGGACGATGACTGGTCATTGCTATAATACTATTACGAGATAATTTCCAACTGGTTTTCTGATAATAGTTCAGGGTGAACTTCACCCCCATGAAGTGTATTTTGTCGGGTAGGAATATCTTGGTTAGTGATATCGTGTTTTCCACGATCACGGTGACACCCTGCAGACTGGTGTTGGAGCCGACACCCACCCGCACGTAAACGTTGCAAACTTGATACTGGTGTCGTTTCACCCACCCGAGTTTGATCCCCTTCACGATCTCGACATCACCCCGCGATGGTTCCCCTAGGTAGACTTTGATGATCAGTGTTGAGTTTGCCGGTAGACTCTCCAGTATCCTGACCACGCCTTCGAATTCAGACACCAACTGCAATGTCACGTTTTGCATGTTCGGTTTACTCGATAGCATATGGGCCGCCATACTGGCGACTGGGCTGATGGCTACGCTACGTCTCTGAGTCGGGACGTAAGCCACGAGCAGGGTTCCATTGTTAACGACTTTGTTTAGATGGTTGTCTTTGTTATCCGTGAACACGTAGGGGGAGCCGAGCCTAATATTGAGAAACCAGTCGTCTTTATCGGGTAACAACACCCACTTGTCATCTTCGGTAAAGACGAGCGTATATGGTTTGTTTCGGGCGACGGTAGTGCTCTCAACATCGTCTAAGTCGAACAGTTTGCCCCCGAACGATGGGTATATTATCCATTTATCATCCCCGGTGGTGACTAGGGTGTACCGAGTGTTGACTGTTGCTCTTGCGGTATCTACTATATCACCTAGGGCTCCACCGGAGGGGACTTCAACGCGTTTGTAAATGTTGTTTTTCAGTTGCAAGGCGTACAATTTACCATCTACTCCGGGAGCGTCGAAACCGCGTGTGTCCCCGAGGTCGGAGATCCCCACATTGATGCATTTTTTCACCCCGGGCCCTTGTGCGCTGGTCATTTTATGTGAAGTGTTAAGCTGAAGTATCCTATATTCACGGGATTATGACTTATATCTAACACCGATATTATCAGCTCAGGTATGTTGCCCTGGGTTAACCTCTTATACTGCCGCGGTGAAAACGACTCAGTTCTACCGTCGTTGTATTTCTCCGTTTTCACCGGTACGGCTCTAAGTATAGTGGAAGGGTGACCCCCTTGAATGTTGTACGTTGTGCTCACCTGACCGAGATGAATGTACAGCTCTCGGTACGGTACTAGGTCGGGTAACTTCGTGCCTGTGACGGTAGTTGTGGGTTTTATCTCGTCAGGAGGCATACCGAGTGTCCTCGCTAATGGTCGACCGAGTCTCAAGGAGTTTCTTCCGTTGTTGATTAACACCACTGTGCCGTTTGAGTCGTTCATCTTGAATTCCGCCCCCAGGGGTTTGAAGACCTCATCGCTTAGAGAGCACACGCTGTAGTAGCCGTCAGTTATCTGACTGCGAGCTCCACTGACGAACAGCTTATTGTTGCTGGCGTTGATGTTAGTCCATTGCGGTAGGTAGGTGATATCGCAGAGTGCGACTTCAAGTTGACCCGACATATTATCGATCGCATGCGTCAGCTGAACGGCCTCACCGCTCGTTATTCCTGGAAGTGTTATGTACATGTTAGAGTATATATGCTCATTATATAATAGTTTTAAAATGTACTCCCCTGGAGTGTTTTACCCTAAACTGGACGTAGATTTCTCGCCCATGAAGATCGCGGTTGCTGATGGGATGTATTTCAACGCCCAGCTTTTAGATGTGTTCAGCCTGTATAAATTTTCGGTGACTAACGCTAAGGTAGTTCATGCTTGGTTCAACAACCCGATGCAGTTCTGGCAGAATCAACTCAACTTCGCTGTGTGGTGCGCTACAACGGGGTGTGGTGTGACATTGACCGACACTCGGCGTGGACCGCTGAGTCAGTCTGTGTTCATGTTTCACGTGTACTACCAGGTCAGACGTATCTTTAAAGAGATCAGCGCCCCGCTCCCACAGGACAACGCATGGAACCCATTAAACAACAAGTACGATAGACGGGCCTACGAACATATTTGCAACGAATTCGAACTAAACCCGAAGACGGATTGGCGTTTGCCGGGACCGAACCACGGGTTGGGTATCCCCATCGTTCATAACATGCCCCTCGTGGAAGCCAGCGAGAAGTTGAAAGAATGGGGATACAAGTCGTATCATCACCTCACAACCAACGAGTGGGATGACCGTTACATGGCTTTCAACGACAGCAAGGATTACCGAGTATGGAGGTTCGAGCAGGGGGGCAGCGGATGACTGGAAAAAAGTTTATGTTGGACACGTCGAAAGGGTTCACTCGTGCCGGGGTAATCAGGTTAAACGACTCGATTCGAACGTACGTGTGGGCGGTGTTGGGTGCGCAGACGCAAACGCGTTCCAGTATTATCGGTAAGGGGACTGCTTACGACGCTCAGAAACAGTTCGTTGCCAACGTTGAGGATGCTATCAATGCTCCAGTTAATCTCCCGAGTGCCATCAAACGCTACAAAGACGTGTTGGAATATGCCAGGTCGAAAGTCGACTACGTCTTCGATGTGGGACTGTACATGGCTCCGAGTGATATGCAACTGAGAGTAAAAAAAGTAGTGGGCTACAACAACAAAATAGTTGTAGCCACGGCGGACCAACCTCGATGTTAACACCCCCTACGTCCCACCACCCACGACCGGGGAAACGGGTATAGTAGCGCCACCCCCGGAGCCTAGGGTTCAACACACACCCCCTGTGGGGTCACCCCCACACGTTCAGGAGCAGCACATCGATCGTAAAACAGCCCTGGTGGTTGGTGGGGTAGCTTTGGGGCTCATTTGGTTAAAAATTCCTTAGCCGCTACGTACACCAGACCCGCCACGGCGACGATGGCTGCCCACAGGTTTTGACTAAGCCACGTGGCAGTTTTAGCCAGAGCGCCCAACAACCACAAGACGATGCTACCCAGGATGCCGGGCAGGGCTTCGGCAGCCTTACCAGCCAGTTTAGCCAGGGCCTCCCGGAGGGATTTCAGGTGTTTTTTAATCCAGTCTTTAACATCCCCACCACTTGGTGGTGTGCCACTGCCGCCGGCAGGCGTGGGGGTACCCCCAATCAGTGACACCACCAGGGTTGATATGATGAAGCCCAATGCAGTCAGAATGCTGGCGATGGTGATCCCTTGCTCCCGCAACAGGATCCGAATCCTGTTAGCTAGCGTGGTGTCTTCATTTAGGACTCGATCGATGGTTTCCTGTACGCGACTGATCTGGGATCGGAGGGCTTCCCGGTTAGAGGAAGCGGATTCTAACCGAGTCCGTCTCTCGTCTTCCAAGTTTTTTATTCTCTCCTCAATACGCCGTTTCATATCACCATCCGCTTCGGTGAGTTTTATTTTCTCGCGAGCGATGTGCTCATCGATTTCATTAAGTTTCCCCATGTTGTTCACTAGTTCTCCGCGTACATGTTTCAAGGCTTCGTCTAGACCTCGCAGTTCCCTCAGGGGAAATTCGAGACCCGGCAAGGGTTTGTCATGGTACGTAGCCAATATTTTTTCAATACTGTCTGACGTTTCTTTAGCACGTTGGGGGTCATCGTCTTTGGGCCTGGCTGCTTGCAGATCTTGGACGGCCTTCGGGGGAAGCTTAGATCGCGTGCCGCCGTAATCTATGAAGCCTAATTCATCACGGATCAGTTGGCCCCCACCAGGGCGACTGGTGAGTGTTGACAAAGCATACGGCTTCCCGTCTTTTTTTATGATATCGACCCCCGGGTGAGCCTTCAATCGCAGCGTGCCCTTCTTATCGACGGTAAACTTGGAATAGTCCCTCCCCAACGGCTTGATGTTGTCTCTATTTTCAACTGCGTTGTAATAATCGTCGACAGCCGGCTGTATAAGTTCAGTACTTAAGGGGTTAGTGAATGAGGTCTCCTGCTCGTCGAATGCCTGGGCACTATCATCCAACATATCATCCATAGGTATGTACTCGGCCATTATTTAGTATTAAAATATATTTCATTTATATAACAATGTACGGTAGAAAACTAGATCCTTTCAGAAGATCAAGAGAGCCTCTAGGCGCCAGAGCTGTGCGCCAGTCGGTGACCATCACCAACAATCCCAGCAAGATAGACCAGAATCAAACGCTGCTGGTTAGATTCCCAAACCTTGGCGAGAATGACCTCATTGTACCAGGCACGGTTCGACTGGCGTTCAACCTCACGCTGACCTCCACCAACGACAAACGCGAGCTAGTGCGGAGCGTAGGTCGGGCCATTATCAAGAAAACCACTATCAAGATCAGTGGTAACGAGATGTTGAGTATTGACGACAGCAACGTGTTTCACTGCTACGGGGACCTCTGGAAAAGCGAGGGAGAACGCGTCAATGACGTGTACCAGGGTATCAGCAAATCGACCCGGTCGCGCATAGGGTATGGCTTCACGCAAGACCAGCTAGATAAGATAACGGACGGTGAAAAGGCCATCGCTCAAGCGTACGGGAACAGGTTCTGCGTGCCGCTCGACTTCGAGTTGCTCACGGGGCACGCGCCGTTTTACCAGGCCGCGCTGGGTGATAGGCTTGAATACGAGCTAACGTTTAACGACTACAGCAAAGTAGTGCGTACGCCGAATGGTGATGAGGCCAGTTACGCCATAGACAACATCTCTCTGGAGTTCGACATGGTCACTAGCCCGGAGCTGGCCAGGCAGGTTCGAAGTCAGTACTCTGGGAAGATGGCCATCCTGTACGACCGCATACTGAGGCATAGATCAGTCGTGCGAGATAAGAGCGACACTGTGTGGAATATCAACCTGAACGTGCCGGCGCGATCGATGAAAGGCATCCTGGTCGTCCCCGTGGAGGATTACGAACCGTTCCGGAGGGACAGCGAGAAGTTTTTCAACCCCGAGATTGAAAAGGTGGAAGTGACCATAGAGGGCGTGCCCAACCAGCTGTTCAGTCATGGTATGAGGCCATACCAGCAGTGGGATGAGATAAAAAAGCTACCGAGCAAACAACATTACATAACCAAGGACCTGGACCTATCCTCTGTGAAGATCTGTGAATACCTGACCACCAAGTACGCCCTATGGTTGGACATGCGATCCACGGATGATGATAAACTACACGGTAGTGGTCGTCGCATAGACAATGGTAGTGAGGGGATTACTATCCAGATTACCAAGAAGGCTCAACCCGCTGGCAAGTTGAAATTATATCTGTACGTTATTATGGACGCGCAACTTAATATAGACAATGGGAGATTCGTGCAAGCCATCTACTGATGGCGGCAAGCCATCAACTGATTTGCCGGCAGGCAAATCACTGCCTGCCAGCAAGCTATTGCTACCCCGCGACCCACACTGCGCCATAGTGTGCGGGCAGACTGGCTGTGGGAAGACCGTTTTCGTGTTGGATATGTTGGAGGGTTACTACAAGGATGTGTTTGATAACATCGTTATCATGTGCCCTACTCTGAGTATGAATAGAACGTACACGGAAAGACCTTGGGTCATGACTGACCCGGACGTACACAAAGTCGACCCGGGAACACGCCTGCAGGACTGGTTGAAAGCTCTTCACGAGAAATTTAAAGGGGAGTCTACACTGTTCATACTGGACGACTGCAGCGCTAATCGCGAGATAACAAAAAAGAGAGACATGCTATCGTACCTGGCCTTCTCTGGTCGGCACGCAAATCACAGCGTCTGGGTGCTAACGCAGAAGTTCAACTCGGTGTTGAAAGACCTCAGGGAGCAGACGCGATGGGTGGCCTTATTTCACTGCAAGGACAGGGATTCGTTCGAGGAGTGTTTGAGAGAGAACGATGTGATGAGCAAATTAGAACGGGAACGGGTGAAGAAACAGCTCGCTGAAACTAAACACGCTAAGCTCGTGCTCAAGACCGACCAACCCGTGGCCTATAGGGTGTTTTAGCTTAGCAAATGCTTAGCAAATGCTTAGCAAAGCTTAGCAAATGCTAAGCAAAGCTAAGCAAAAAGCTTAGCAATGCTTAGTATAAATACTTAGCATTTAGTTATAGCTATGATATTTGAAGTGTTCGTAGTGTGCAACTTAACCTTCATTTCTCTCTGTTTCACCTATATCGTATTATATATAGTTAAAACTAAATCTTACTTGTTACATTATAAGATGGAGTGTGAGGAATTGCTCGAACAATTGTTGGTACCCCAATCACCACAGGTGGACGATGACAAGCGAGAGAAACTGGTGGCGTTGGCTGTTGGTGGCAAAGCCAAACATTACTTTGGGGAGTACACTCCAGATAAAATTCACAAAATGTCAGCCGAAGAAATTGATAAGCTGTACGCTAGATACGAGTCCCGGCTCGGAGCAGAGATGACAAAGACAATAGGATCGGCTATGACCCAGATATACACTGGTATTGCGTCGTACTTCCTTCCCATTCCCCAGGAACGCCGATTGTGGGAAGACCTCGAGAAAGACCCTTTTATCGAACACGCCTTGAGCTCTATTAGCTGCGAGCTGTACCACAAATATGGTATGTTGTTAGCCCCGGTGATGGCGGCGATTACGGCAAAGCATTGTCAATTTGAGAGGAAAAATAATAATAATAGTATAAAGGATGGATGCTGCACAGGAGACACCACCCCAGACCCCTTCAGTGGAAACCCCACCCCCCACGTTGGGGAAACCCCATCTGGAGGTGAACCCAAAGTTGGGGGAGAACCCCCCAGGGAGGTGACAGTAACCAGGCAGAAGAATCCTAAGAGAGTAGCTGCCGGTAAAAAAAGGTGGTGTAACCAACATAAAATTATCACGGTGACTCACCCGACCCGACTCTTGTTGGCTGTAGGTGTAACTGCTGCCGTGGTTATCTCGTGGTTATATACACGAAACAGTGAGGGAAACCCTCACAGTGAGGGAAATCCTCACAATCCCAAGGATTCCGGTGATCCGGTCCCCTAATTAGAGGTCGACCCGCATATCATGTTATAATTTAATATTTTATATCATATACATAATGTCTGAGGGGAAAACGTTCGTCAACGACGCATACCACGCCACAGTGGTCGCCAGTCTAGCTGTAGGGTACGCTCGGTTGACCAAAATGGTGCTTAAACAACCAACAATCAAGCTAGATTTCAACCTGCAGGATATGGGTATGCTCATAATGAACCTTGGTATGGCGATGGCCACAAAAGACATCCTAGTAAAACAAGGGATAATACCTGAAAATATTATGAAGTAAATATAGGATGGCCACGATAGCTATGATGGTCGGTGGGGCGT